ATTATAACATTTTTAGCACTATATGAGATCATCTTGTGATTCAATAAATAACTTCTAATTTCCAAGGTACTTCAGATTCTACTTTATTATATTGAGAGATAATGGACATTCGATTAAAATTTTAAAATACTAACTCATTTCATAATGATACTGATGTGAAAAGAGAAGAGAGACTCATTCTGATTGTTAGTTGGTACACTATTTGAATAAAGCAGTAAATGCCGCAGGATGTGTTTGGGAGGGAGTCAGCATTCGCTGCCTCCTGCTATGGATCTGGAACTGTGTCAGATCCTCTGCATAAGTGATCTTAGAATTTAATTAGCAACACAGTTAGAACTCCTTAGTGGCTGCTTATTGTCTTGAGGGTGAAGATCTAGCCTTAAAATAACCCACAAGGCCCTGCAAGGTCTGGTCCCTCCCTGCTTCTTTTGCCTCATTTCCCATCAAGCTGCCCCTTGCCCTTTGGTTCCCATTTCCTCTCAGTTCCTCAGAACTGCCCTGCACCCTCTAGTCACAAGGAATTGACTCGTACCTCTCTCTGCCTGGCTTACTCTCTGTGCTCCTCAGATCTTTCCTCTAGCTGTATGTCCTTGATCATGGAAGCCTTCCTGGACACCCGGCCCATTCCCCGCTCATAGGTCAGATCCACGTTGTACACTCTGTGCTGTGCACTCAGCACCCTGGCTTTACTGTGCGGCACTTATCCCTGTTATAATTCATCACTTACTGGTCTGATTATTACCGGTTTGTTCCATTACACTGTAAACTCCATCAGTGCAATATCATTGCTGGTTTTTGCTCCCTAGAATCGGCCATGCTAGTGGTTTTATCCCCAGAATCGGCTGTGCTAGTGGTTAGCACATAGTAAGCACTCAGTAAATTTTACTTGAGTACTTTGGTTTTCAAGCTTGTTCCACTCAGTTCGCCCCACAGTATCTTAAATTTCTAAGAAATCAATTAAAGTAAAAAGAGACAAATATGTTCATCACTTTCCAGTTTGGGATATTAGGAAAAAATTACAAGTTTGTTTTTTTTGTTTTGTTTTGTTTTTTTACCTATTAAGCAATTAGAATACATTGTGATGTGTAAATGGAGGTTTAAAAAAATAGCACTTTTATATCTCTGTATTTAGAGACTATGTTTGTGTGTACATTCTCACCACTGTGCCATGTTATTTCTCACTGTAACGTCTGTAAGGCTTCTCATATCTACCTATATGTTCCTCCCTCTCAGAACAGTATTGCTACATTAGTAAGTACTCCATAAATGCTAGTGGAGCTGATTTTACTGGTTAAAAAATAAAACCAATTTCTTCAGGACTGGGGTGGTATTACAATTACAGATAGTATAATTTACACCTTAAGATTTCAGGAGGATACGGAAGCATCATATAATAGGTGACTTTAAACTGGATTAGGGGCTGGGTGCGGTGGCTCACGCCTATAATCCCAGCACTTTGGGAGGCCAAGGCGGGTGGATCACAAGGTCAGGAGTTTGACACCAGCCTGGCCAATATGGTGAAACCCTGTCTCTACTAAAAATACAGAAATTAGCCTGGCGTGGTGGCAGTCACCTGTAGTTCCAGCTACTCGGGAGGCTGAGGCAGGAGAATCACTTGAACCCGGGAGGCAGAGGTTGCAGTGAGCCGAGATCGCACCACTGTACTCCAGCCTGGGCGACAGAACGAGACTCCATCTCAAAACAAAACAAAACAAAAAACCTGATTAGGATAACAGGACAAACAAATAGCTTGATAGAGATGGAGTTGGGGATCAGAGCAGTGGTGGACATTCTGAAGGGATAAGCCTCTGGTCTCACCTGGGATCACTCTACCATGATATGTTCTAGGAGGGGTTGGGAATATACATGCCTGAATGGTCAGGTGATAGAATGCCAGTGGAGTTTGCACTGAGGATAATACAGCAAAACAGGGACTAGAAAAGGGAGGTTGGGGGTGAGTTTTTCCTCATTGTCGACTAGTATGGAGAGATGATAAGTACCATTGGCCTCTTCTACATAGAATGAGAAGTTGCTGCTCTAAATCGTGCTTTTTAGTGGCCCAGTAGTTGAACCTAGTGAACTAAGCACTATAATGAATCTTAGAGCAAAACTCAGAGTAAATCTAAGTTCATGAACTCATGTAAATTACCTTGATTGGCCTGACTTACTGGGTAAGTAAATGGAAGAGTAAAACATTTCTACAACAGCCAAAAACAAGACAAGAACTTACAGAGTATTTTTTAATGTTTTATCTAATGAAAATGTCTTTACTTTGGAAGTCTGTGAAAAGTACTGTTTATTTAAAACTAGTGGATTCTAGATAAATGAATTTGACATTAGATGAATTTCAAACTTTAGTCTTTGGAGAATATTTTAGTTCTGTAAGCAAACTTTTTCATATTAAAAACATTTACATTTGTTAGGTGATTCTGGAGAAGTTTGGATAATTTTGTGGGCAAAAATTTGGTAAATAGAGAGAGTGGGGGAAAGGTCTTACTGTTTGTGCTGAAGAAACACAAAAATAGGATGCTCATATTTTTTTTTTCCTTCCTTGTGATCCTTGCTGGCCTCATTTGTATTGTACCGAATATGGGAGAGGTGAGGCAGGAGACAAGCCAGTTTTTCATGGGTATTTATTATTATGAATAACATGTCACAGAGGCAATAGGCATGTGATTACTGTAATATGCCACTGAGTGTGATAAATGTCAAATGCATGCAAGGATTCTTCCCTTTGTAGCCTGGCCTCTTAGATTGGCCACTTATCTCCTTCTTTTTCTTCTATTAAATTTATCTCTTGCAGATAAAACATTTTCAAAGTAAATATTGATTTTATTCACATTATTAATGTGTAGCTATCAAACTTGACAGAATATTTAATATCACAATTTTTGAAGTGTATATTATCATCATGGTTACTAATGAAAAGTAAGTTTCTCCGTACTATTACCCCTCCGTCATTCAAATCTTTATAATATTTTTATACTTAAGTCAAATGTTTTGACATCCAAACCTAAAAGACAAGCGGGAAAAAAACACGGATTTGTTGTTGCACTAGAGGGCGCCGTATTCCAGTTCTTCCTGAGAAAGAAGTCCTTTGGTCCAAAGTTTGCATTTCCATTGAGCAGATGCTGAGGGGAAGGCAATGTCCCTGCTCTACCTTGAGGAATTTCACCATTCCAGGTCATGAGTCTGGTTTTTAAAACAATGTCCATATCCACCTGTGGTTTGCCTCCTAAATAATCAGAAGGATGATTATTTAGAAAACTAAGCATAGATTTTGTTGTTCAAATATTTCAGAGCTTCTTTTAAAATTGCCTTTAAGAGCTGATGTGGTATTTCCTTTTTGTGTGCCCTCAATGGAGTACAGCATTTATTTTTTGAAAGCCAAATTTCTGGAAACAACCTAAAGTTATTTGGTACCAAGGAGATGCATATTCAAATCAGATAGTGCTAGATATGGTTTGCCATTGAAAGTAATGGCAAAACCCGTGATTACTTTTGCACCAACCTAGTAGATCTAAGAAGGTGCTAATTGTATGACGTCGATTCTCAACTACCTGAGAGTCATCAATCATGATAACTCTTTCTTCCTGGCCACCCACTGCAAGTCTTGTTGCTTCTGTGACATGTTATTCATAATAATAAATGCCCATGAAATCACCTCCCAACTGCAAAACTACAGCACTGGTAGTAACTTAAATCTTTCTGTGTGATCTAGTTATGAGTTAACTAGAGTTCATTATTTTCTTGCTTCCCTTTTTATATGATTTTGTTATATAAAAAGGAAATTGTATTTTAATTTTATAAAAAGAATATCATGTGTTATGTGATCTTCTGGACTTTTGTAAACTTAAAATTATATTGCCATGATTCATTCAGGTCATTATGTTTAGCTGAAGTTCATTTATTGTGACTGCTGTCAACTATTACATTCTATAACTTTGAGATTATTTATTGATTTCACTGTTGATGGTCATTTGGGTCATTGAAGGTTTTGCTGTGAAAAATAGTGATACCATGAACGTTCTCGTACATATGTCCAGATACACAAATGCAACCATTTCTCTAACAATAAACTTCAGTTAATTATGTTTTCCTCTAAAAATCTACACATAAGAATGTAATCGTTCGCTGGCATTTTCTGCATTCCAAACAAATTTAAGCAGAAATTCATGAAGAAAGTTTCCAGAATGATTAGTTCAACGTATTCATTTTCTTACCGACTGGCTAAACTCTTAAGGAGACAGAATTATTTCTGGTGCTTTGGACATTTGTATGGTCTTGTTTCCTCTTAGTACCTGTTGTCAATGTAACTAACACAGAATAACATAGCTATAATACAATGATGTGTAGAAGTAAGTAGCTGTAATATGCATATGGCTAGATGAAGTTGACAGGCCCAGTTCCATGAGACACTTCAGATAAAGGTAGGCCTCATTCTCATTCTAGTCCTTCCTGTAGTTCAGCCTCACTGAAATCTGGAATATGTTTTCCTGGACTGCCATCATTCATAATCATGTGGGCGAGTGTGGATGGAAATACCAGCAAATCCTTTATTATCCGGGAAAGCAGCTCTCTCTACGACCAATATGATAAACCTAAGGATATTGCTGAGAGTCTACTACCTAAACTCAACGTATTCTTTGAATATGTATTGAATGTATACTAAATCTAGCATTGTAAACCACTCACTGTTCTTGTACCATAGAAACACTTTCAGGCTTTTTCTTATTTTCAAGCAGAAAGGTTGCTAGTTTTAGAGGTGTCAAAAATGCAGCCTGGCCCAGCTTAAGTTCCCTTGTTTATTTATCTTCGATCTTCAGGACTGAGAAATCTAAAAAACAAAACCACTCAGATTCCTTGGGTGACAGAAAGATCAAAGAGCCTGAAGAAACCAGTTCACTCGAACATCAGAGTGACAATGAGTTAAAATCAAAATGTTTTCTTTCTCGCACTTATCATGTTTCTATTTAAACTCAAATTTCCTTTTTTAATTAAAAAAATTTTGTGGGTACACAAGTGTATACATATATGAGGTACGTGAGATTTTTTGATACAAGCACGCAATGTATAATAACCAAGTCCTGGAAAATGGAGTATCCATCCCTTCATGCATTTTTCCTTTGTGAATACAAATTTCTTGAAGAGCGGGGTATGCATCCAGGTTTTTAAGATGACTTTTTATTTTGAAGATCTGACCATTGGCCTTCCATTTACAGGTATGCAGTAGGGTCACTCAAGTCACAGTTTTCAATGTGCACGTGCGACTGTATGCCAGGATAAACTTTCTGCAAGGGCAATAGAGTTCCAAGTTTTTCTCCCTTCTTAACAGGACCTTTATACTTAATTGGCTTAATGTAGAACATTTTGACACAAAAACCTAAAAGAAAATAAGTATAATTATTTATCTGGGCTTCAGTAACCTTGAATCTGAAATTTAAAAAATAACAAATGGACAAAAAATAAAAAAGTTGAATGAACTCCAGAGAGGAATAGATGAAAATGACAGAATGATATTAAAAAGGAAGACTAAATTACAAGATGCCAAAGGAAGAATAGATTCAAATGAAATGCTAATAAAGGCATTGAAGAATAATAGCAGGAAAATACTAGCTAGTTAGAAAAGGTGAACCCTGAACAAAGTCAGCTCCAAGACATATTCTGATGAAATTATTGGACTTTAAAGGAAAATGGAAATAACTGGAACAAAAATACAAACCTTGCTAAATATCAAAAGAACTAAAAAGGCAAAGACCCAAGTAGCGAAATAGAGTGCAATACAATAATTATAAAATAAAATGATGGGTACAAATATAGGAGTCATATCTGTAAATGTGAATGGCCTTATCTTGTCTATTAAAAAATGTCCCATTGGGTTGAAAAGCAAACCCCAATTTAATGCTGTATGGAATAAAACACAGCGATTGAAAAGGCTGAAAGTGAAGAGCTGGACAAAGATTTGCCAAGCAAATGGACAAAGATTTGCCAAGCAATAAGAAAGCAAGGGCTATCGTCCTGTTACCGGAGTGGAAATCAGGCCAAAAGGCATTGAAACAAGACAAAGGAAGATAATATAAGAGAGTAAATGCCCCAAGTCACAGTGAAGATACAACAGTTACATCTATCCATGCACTAAATAACAGGTCATCTATATAAAGCAGAGACTACAAGAGACGCCAGGAGACATAGATAGAAACCCACCAATAATAGACTTTAATACACTACTGGCACTGCAAACCGGTCAAGTGAGCATAAAAATAAGGCTGTAAAATTATGCTGTCCGATACGGTAGCCACTAGCCACATGTGGTTATTCAGTACTTGAAAGGTAGTTAATCTGAATTGAGATGTGCTTTAATGGTAAAGTACACAGTGGATTTTGAAGACTTAGCATTTAAAATTGTAAAATATCTCAATACTTTTTGTATTACATATCGATATACTTTGAAAATATTGAGTTAAATAAAATACTAAAATACTATATTTTTTTACTTCAATGTGGCTAATAGAAACTACTCACTCTGTGTCCCAGGCTGGAGTGCAGTGGCGCGATCTCGGCTCACTGCAGGCTCGGCCTCCCGGGTTCACGCCATTCTCCTGCCTCAGCCTCCTGAGTGTCTGAGGGACTGCAGGCGCCTGCCACCACACCAAGTTTATTTTCTGTATTTTTTAGCCACCACACCAAGCTTATTTTTTGTATTTTTTAGTAGAGATGGGGTTTCACCGTGTTAGACAGGATGGTCTTGATCTCTTGACCTCGTGATCCACCCGCCTCGGCCTCCCAAAGTGCTGGGATTACAGGCATGAGCCACCACGCCCGGCCGAAAATTTGAAATTATATACATGACTTCTGTTATATTTCTATTGGATAGTTCTGCTGTTGAAGAGCTTAAACTCCCATCAGGTAGGTTTTATGAATAAATATTAAACAAAAGATGTGCAAGATCTCTACACTGAAAACTACAACAACCATTAATATAAGAGTGAAGGAAGACATAAGTAAGTGGAGGATATAATATGTTCATTGATTGGAGGACTCACTACTTTAAAAATATCAGTTCTCAATTTGATCTGTATATTTACTGTAGATTTAGTCAGAGCCCTGGCAGGATTTTTGGTGGAAATTAGCAAACAGATTCTGTTTGGAAATGCAGATAACCAAGAACTGCCAAGGCAGTCTGAAAGAAGAAGAAAGTCAATTCCAATTCTGCATTCTGGAACTGGGGAAATAGCCTCTTGGTAGTTTGGAGGATGCACTGGGCTCACTGTAAGATGGAGTGAAAAGCTCTGTAGCACTGTAAGATAGCTAGTGAAAAGCTACATTGACCACCTGACTATAAGCCCCTACTTTATAGTCTGACTGGTGAATCACAGTGGCCTTTTAGATCTCCAGGAATTAGTGTCAGTTTTGAGCAAGTGTCCAATAATCTCTGAAGAGCCTAATTATTTCTTCCCCAATGTGCTGTCATCCTGCTAAACCATTGCAGGTCCCTTTGGGGGTGGCTAGAAGTAAGGTTTACAGTATAAATTTTTGGCTGCATGGCAGGACCCTTGTGCAAAAGGACTGAGCCTCCCTTTCTTTCAAGAGGCTCTGGGACTGAACCAATTCAAGCCTGGGAATTTATTGGGAATTGGAACCCATTATTGTGATGACTGAAGTCAGCATTTTGTTCATCAGACCTGGAGCATTTCCATTCACACAAGTCCAATAAGGCTTTAGTTGGCTGCTCATCTATTCAGTTCTAGGGTCACCGTGATTACTAGCCAATGTCACAAATCTCTGCAGTTTAGACGAATCTGATTACTACTGCTCTCACTGACCTTGGCATTAACTGTTAAGCACCACTTCAGAGGACCCAGTTCAATGGCAGAAGTTTCCCTTGCAACGTTGGGCCTAAAGAGGACAACCACTATATAGCTCCTCAAGGATGTGGGTTCCCTCACAAGATGCCTCTCACAGCCTTGGTGAGGAGAGTCTCCTCTGGACTCACTCCCAATGGGAATGTGTATATATGTTCGTTAAAAGGTATAAGAAAGTTCGCAGCCGCAATTTTAGAAGCGCCTAAAACTGGAAACTACCCAAAAGTCCGTCTGAGGAAGAATGGATAAATGGATGAAAATATATGCATATAATGGAATATCATGCATCAGAAAAAAATGTGGATACAAAAATATTAATCACATAATCATGATGTGGAATGAAAGAAGACCCACAAAAAAGAGTGAATGCTGTTTAATTCTATACCATTTTTAGAAACAGGGAGAACTAATACATGGTGTTAGAACTTGGGATGGTGGTTATCTTGCTGGGAATAATGACTAAATGGTAGCACAAGGGATCTCTAGGATGTGGGTGATGTTCTTTTTCTTGATCTGGGTGCTGATTACACAGGTATATTTGCTTTTTGAAATTCACGGAGCTACACATGGATGTGTAGTGCACTTTTATGTGTATATTTTATACGTTGGTGGAGTAACCGAACAACAAAGCCAATATCTGGAGTACCAGGAGACCTAGTTTTACCTAAAACTTAGAAGCTTTCAAAAATATTTCACATTCGACTCTTGGAGAAATGCCAGCATTTATGATTTGTGGGATTTGAGTAAATGCAAGTATCTATCCATTATGGTTAGCATTGCTGAAAGTGGCTTCGTTTATAGATTGTTAAGCAAAACCACATGGGTCACAGGAAGGAATGCCTCCAATCAGCTGTGGGGTTTCATGGAGTGTGTGCGTGAAGCAGAAGTTTTCAGAGAAAATGGTGAAACATCCTTGAAAGTGCCTCAGCTGGGAGAGGATCAGAAAAAAATATCTATCGGGTACTATGCTTATTACCTGGGTGGCAAAATAATCTGTACACCAAATGTCTGTGACATGTGGTTTACCTATATAACAAATGTGAACATGTACCCCTGAACCTTAAATAAAAGTTTTTTAAAAAACGCATCAGCTAATTTGGGTACACTCTATATTCTTTCTGTTCTAGGTTGTATCATTTTGAAAGAAGTACAAAATCTCTATGTATGGAACCTGCATTAAATAAATAAGCATCAACATGTCCAATAGACACCCCAGGTATAGACTCCACCTCTCTTACCTCTTCCAGATATTCGAACACCATTATTGATAGCATTTTTGTTTTGATAAGGTTTCTCCTGGCCCACAATCATTCCAGTGAATGGTGCATACACAGTAGATCCAGCAGAGCACAAGATGTCCACACCCTGGTGAGGCCTCTGACTTCTAGGATGTAAATAAGAATGAACAGACTGAGGAGCTGCCCTGGGGAGCTTTACTGCCCGGGAACATGGTGTTAGCCCACTGTTTCCAGACGAGGTACCAAAGCTTGAAGCTGCCAGAACATGTTGGGCTGTCCCAGGATGCCTCACTCTGTTTAGGCCAATTTTAACCTCCCTCCCTGCAGGTGCTAATAACCATGTTATAAAGATGAAAGCATTTAAAATGGTAATTGATACATAGTAAGCTTTAAACAAGTATTAACCACTATTATTTTATGGCATTTGGGGGGAATGAGGCAATCCATGTAAGTGCATTTTCTAGATACCTAGATCTTGACGTCTTCAAGCCCACTTTGAAAACAGCTGGCTTTTTATGGGAACTTATCATAAAAGTATCACATGTTACCCTTGTCTTATTTTTCTCGCAGTGATCTAAAAAGGGATTGTAAATACCACTTACTATATATGGTATTTTAATACAGCGTGTGATACCTCCTGGGTTTATTAAAGTGCATGGAGCCCAAACCAAACTATTCCAGATCGTGAGGTGCCTTGAGTTCATCTTAGCAACCCCTCAGCTCTTGCTTCCCGCTGCTGTCACTATGCCTGCTCTCACCAGCCTTCTAATAGGCTTCTAATAGGCTGTCGTCTGAAGGATCAGATTTACCAGGATTGCTACAATTATGTACAAAGCAACACTGAGCAGGCTCAAGACAAAAGCCAAGAAGTTACTGTATCAATCAAGTGCATAAGCTTTACAGTATGAGCTGAGTTTAAATTTAGGCAATTCAGGGGACGTTTCCCATATTTCCCTTCTTAGTCCTGTTTCAGTATTTGAGGTTGCTTTGTAAGTTGTATCTGTATATGTGAGAGTTCCCCTCTAGTTAGGATGGAGATCAGTGAAATGACTGGACACATGGCTATTTCACTAGAAAGTGGCACCCCACGTTGATGCTGGGTATAACTGAAAATTCACGAGTGTGACCCTCATTGTCTGGAAGAGATAGTGGTGCTCTCTCGCCTGCTTAGAGTCAACCTCTAATATTCAACCTCCAGAACCTGGGCCAGTAACAGCGTAGTTTGGTGGGAAGAGGAACCAAAAGCCTGAATTCAGGCCCAGCCTTCACCATCTCCAACTGTGCTTGGCAGGTCTGTTAACGCTTTGGCACCTCAGTTCAAGTTTCTCTTCTATAAAATGGGATAGTCGTGTTTGATACCCCTTTGGAAAAACCAAGTGAGGTAAGTCAATGTGTGAAGACATTCAGAAGGAAAACTGTGTTTGCTCCCTGCTCTTTTCCTTCTTCCACATTCTGATCCCAATTCACAGCTCATAATTGAAGCAGAGTTATTGGAAGCTGCTCCAAAGACAGTGATATAACTGGTTACATCTCTGGTTTTTCATGCTGTCAGAACTGTGAGCCCTTGAGGCAACCAACGTTGGGCAAGGACACTGAGAAAAGAGGTTAGGGACCAAAGGGTTGGATGGTTGTGTGTGCAACTTCCTACCTTTGAGCAGAGTACTGTCCACAGCCATGGCGGTCACACGTCCGGATCTCGTTGGAAGACTTGCCAGCACATATATTAGCCCATGGCCCTGCCAGTGCTAAAAAGGAGAAACATGAGAGCAGAGCTCCTGGCCTCAGACATTCCCTATCTCCATTTGCCTTATCAGTCACACAGTGGATCCTGACAATTCTGTTTTCACTGTAGTTTTCCCCAAACTTTATGTATTTGTGGGAAGGTCGTCTTTCCAGAATTTTATATCCTGATTCAGATGTAAAATTGTTTTTTTCCCAGGCCACAGAATTCTGCCTTGTTATGTTAGAGCATTAGTGAATACAACTTTTTTTTTGAATCGAAGTCTCACTCTGTTGCCAGGCTGGAGTGCAGTGGCATGGTCTCAGCTGACTTCAACCTCTGCCTCCTGGGTTCAAGTGATTCTCCTGCTCCAGCCTCCTGAGTAGCTGCGACTACAGGTGCACACCACCACACCCAGCTAATTTTTGTATTTTTAGTCGAGACAAAGTTTCACTATGTTGGCCAGGATAGTCTTGATCTCTTGACCTCGTGATCTGCCTGCCTCAGCCTCTCAAAGTGCTGGGATTACAGTCATGAGCCACCGCACCCGGCTGAATGTGTCTCTTTATAAGCATTGGCCTCCATCATTATACCTTGCTTCAGATCCATTAGTAAATGGTATAAGTTGTGCTTTTCTATTTTTCTTTGCTCATTATCTGCCATGGGGATCATTATTTTTAGATTAAGCAAAAATAATAAAACAGCATGACTCAGAAAATAATTTTAGAAATTGTAATTTTGAAATGGTTCTACTAATCAAATCCAAGCAAATGTTTGAATTAAAGGAAAAACGAACTCTGAACTAGCCAAGTTTGTTTAACACTAGATATCTCATACTTGCAAACATGGAAGGGAAGAGGGAGATTGTTAGAAATAATCTGAAATGTTAAACCAATTTAGCCTAGACTGAGATTAGGAGAGAAGGTGGGAAAAGGAGTAGAACCAATTATATGAAAAATTATGAAACATGGAGGAAGGGCTGCTTTCTCAGCAGACTTGGTGCAAACTTTGTTTTAGGCACAATTCATCTCTTTAGTATAGTAAGCACTTGATAAATGTTCAATTGAATTAAACATCCTGGATTTCTGGTGTTAACATTCACAGAGAGATACAGTAAGCACACTCAACCTTGCACTTTGAAACAAGCAAAAGCAAGAGTCTGGTAATTTGACTATTGATTTTATTTAAAGACATTTTACTCTTCATTAATACCTATGCTGTGAAGAGAAGCTACAGAATATGGCCATTAAGCCTCTTCTTTAAAATACTTTTAAAAGATGGGTTTCAAAAGTTTTATGCCTTGGAGCCAAGCTCCAAATCAACACCTTGATCAAGATATAATCCCATCAGTTTGTCAACTAATCTTTATCCTTGGGAATTGAGGCAAATATCAGACAGTGTAGTAATTTATGCACCTTTTCTCCTTCTCTGAGTATTAAGGGAGCATTCCCTTTGTCTTAATCCACACCAGTCTCTGTATTAGTATCTGTATCAGAATTTGATTTTGATCAAAATCAGAATCAAATTCTTATATCAACTTTTTATTATCTAGTTTTGTTCTAGTTAAGTCCCAGACCAAAACTGAAAGGCTTTGTAATGTCTTCTCAACCCACTATTATGTTTCCCTCATTAAAGAACCGGAACATTCCATTTAAATTATTTAGAACATCATCAGGACCATGTATCATTCCTGTTTCATTTTTTAATAGCCAAATACACAAGTCTTTGTTGTGATCATGCTATTAATGACTTTTTAATCTTTTTAATCTTCCCCTGAAATCAGTTTTTAAAACTTAACATTCTAAAATTGCACTTTCGACTTACCAGTAGAAATCAGACCAGCCAAAAGGAGGACTTTGGTGGAAAACATCTGGGTTTACTTCCTTTATGTTTCTTCCTCCGATTAGAGTTGCCCCCACACTCTCTTTGAAGAATATTCAAGTTTGAATGAATACTTCCTAGCTATTTAGCCTTAGAATCATGCATCTTTCATTTCTTTAGTGTGAGACACAAAAAATATAAGAGTATGGAGCAAGTCAAGTTCTAATATTCCATGGATAGCTATTTGATTTGCAGGTAGGGCCTATGTAAAAGCCTTTGATCTGAAGAAGCAGCCAATTATATTGGAAACACTGACTAAATATTAACAGAAAATGATAAGGCAAGGTGCGTATCGACAGTCTTCTGGGCTGTGGCTTGTAGGAGAATGTTCGTGCGAATGATGGAATATTTAGTGCTGTCTGCTGGTAGATCTTTCTTTTATTTCCTTTAGAGCACGTATTTCAGAAGAAAATTGATCATTAATAATGTATAGCCCTTCATAACATATTCCTTAATATATCGTTTAAGTGTTTTTGAATTATCAGTTTAATTATATTTTATCTGTGTAATATTTGCAAATAACTTTAATATTTTAATAAAATTGCCTGCACTTACCTTAAATATGTGATTTTTAAATGTTTTCTTGTTTGTGATATGATAATACCATTAAAAGCATCCATTAATAAAGGAAAAAAGATTAAGTATAATATAGTCATTGATATGGTTTGGATCTGTGTCCCCACCCAAATCTGATGTTCGATTGTAATTCCCAGTGTTGGAGGTGGGGCCCGGAGAGAGGTGATTGAATTATGGGGCTAGAGTTCTCATGAATGGGTTAGCATCATCCCCTTGGTGCTGTTGTCATGATAGTGAGTGAGTGAGTTATGGTGAGATCTGGTTGTTTAAAAGTGTATAGCACCTCCCCTGTTCTCACTTCCTCCTGCTTTAGCCATGTAAGACGTGCCTGCTTCCCCTTTGCCTTCTGCCATGATTTTCAGTTTCCTGAGACCTCTCAAGAAGCTACCATGCTTTCTGTACAGCCTGCAGAACTGTGAACCAATTAAACCTCTTTTCTTTATATATCACCCAATCTCAGGTATTTCTTTATAGCAATGCAAGAACAGACAAATACAGTCATACAATGGAGTAAAATATAACAATTTAAATGAAAACAATCTATATATATTAACACAGCTAGATCTCTAGATATATGGTTGAATTAAAAAGCTATTTTTAGAATTATATATATAGAGTATACTATTTATGATATTTAAAATCTAAAAACAAAGAAGAATATTAATCTTAGTGAATGCTGTATATATAATAAAAATATGCACAGACTACCTTTAAGATAGTAATTACTTCTGGATAGTGAGAGAAATAAACCTGTGGAAGGATATACAGAGTACATAAACTCTAAAATATTTTATTTCTAAAAAAAAATCAGAAGCAAATATGTAAAAATATTAATTTGTTAATTATTGGAGATAGACACATGGATGTTATATTACCCTGAACTTTTCTGGGGACTTAAATTTTCAGTGTGTTTCAAATACATGTTCACAACTCCTTTTTAGCTTACTATTAGATGAGCACCTGGAATTTTCTATGGAAGCTTCCCCATTTAAATTTAGTGTCAGTAGCTGTGGGAGATTGGGATTGTGGCCCCCGTTCTTCACCCTCTCTGCGTCCACACCTTTGCCATGTCTCATGGGGGTAAAGGGAACTTTCCTCATCCTTGATTTTGGGTTTAACTGTGTGGCTTTGACCACTAAGATGAGGCAGAAGTGGCAGTGGGTCAGGAAAGCCTGGGTCCTCTGGGGCCTTAGTCTTTGCAAACTCCTTCTGTGTTTTTGCATCGCCGTGAGGCAGATGATCCTGCTGCCCTGGGAAGGGAATGGACGCCACGCAGAGCATGGTTGCCCCCGCAAAACCCAGCCTAGTACACCCTATAAATGTGTGGGCTTAACTGGGTGTCATTGGAAGCCACTGAGTTTTGATGTGGTATGTTACACAACAATAACTAAACGATGCCAATGAGATTATGCACCTAATTGTTTTTGCTTTACAATTGTTTTTGCTTTATGCACCTAATTGTTGATGCACCTTTCAAGGAGGCATCTAATGTATACAACATAGAATGCCAACGCATTGAGTACATCAAGGATCTGAGTCAATGTACTAAAAGAATAGATAAGTGAAACAAAACAGATGATTCAGAAATAGACACAAATATATACAGCATATAGTACACAATAGAAGTCATACTTTAAATGATTAGAGAAAATATAAGTCATTCTATGAACAGTATTGAGACAACATCTGGCAAGAAATAAAAGTGCAGTCTAGGTGTGGTGGCTCATGCCTGTAATCTTAGCACTTTGTGAGGGCAATGCAGGAGGATCACTTGAGGCCAGGAGTTTGAGACAAGCCTGGGCAACATAGCAAAACCCCATCTCTGCAAACAATTTTTAAAAATTAGCCAGGCATGGTGCGTATGTCCATAGTCCTAGCTACTCAGGAGACTGAGGCAGAAGGAATATTTGAACCCAGGAGTTTGAAGTTACAGTGATCATGCCACTGCACTCCACCCTGGGTGAGATAGTGAGACCCTGTCTCAAAATAAATAAATAAATAAATAAATAAAGTTCAATCCATATCAAAGTGAACCAAACATTTGTATGGAAAAGGAGAGAAAGAGGGAGGAGGAGGAAAGAAAGAAAAGAAATGAATTGAAACCGTAGAAATACTAGGAGAAATTATGAATGCTTTTTAATGGTATGGATTAGACTTTTCAAAGAATGTTAAAAAACCCAGAAGCTATGAAGGAAATATTTGATAAATGCGTTATAACAGTTAAAAAACAAAAACAAAAACAAAAACCTTCTACAAAGCAAGCAGTATCCTGATCAGAGTCAAAAGACAATAATCTGAAAAAATATCTATAACTCATATGATATAACAGATAAGGAACTCATCTCCCTAATATACAAAGAATTCTTTAAAAAATAAAAGGCGTAAACAAATTGATAGAAAAATGGGCAAAAGCCGGGAATGGTGGCTCACGCCTGTAATCCCAACACTTTGTGAGGCCGAGGCGGGTGGATCGCGAGGTCAGGAACTCGAGACCAGCCTCGCCAACATGGCGAAACCCCATCTCTACTAAAAATGCAAAAATTAGCTGGACTTGGTGACAGATGCCTGTAATCCCAGCTTCTCGGGAGGCTGGGGCAGGAGAATCACTTGAACCCAGGAGGCGGAGTTTGCAGTGAGCTGAGATTGTGCCATTGCACTGCAGCCTGGGTGACAAGAGCAATACTCTGTCTCAAAAGAAAAAAGAAAAGAAAAATGGGCAAAAGATAGCAACAGACTTTCATAAAAGAAAAAATACAGATTACCAATATATATTTGAAAATATGATCCACTTCACTTAAAATTAACAATTGTAAACCAGAATGAGGTGTAGTTTTTTACCCATCAAATTGACAGAGTATGTAGAAACATTTATTGAAAAGTGTAAGTTGGTTTAACCTCTTTAGAGGACAATTTTGCAATACCCCTCACATTTTTAAATGCACAAAACCTTTGCTCCAGCAATGATATTGTTTTCCTACCTGCGGCCTGCTTTCCTCCCGTTTTCCCTGCCTTCTGTATTAACTGTTTCCAATGCATATTCCCCTCTGAAGCCAGTGCCATCCTCAGAACTGCGGAAGAGATGGTAGGAGACTGTTTTGAAACCCATAATGGGATAGGACCTGAGCAATGTCATCAGTGCTGAAAAACTGATGAGAAACTGTAATGGATGGATCAGGCTGACGATACCTAGTCAATCTTATTGTTAAGAAGAGAGAGAAAGAGAGAGTATATCAGACATTTTATACCTCCTGTTGGAAATGCACAACACAACCTATAAAGTATTCTTGTCAAAAAATCAGGCTCAAGTCTTATAAGGCCATTAGCTCTAACTTCCAGTTTACAGGAACTATGCAGGACAGGGATGCATGTTAAATGTACCACAGGAATGCAGTCAGCCAAATGCAGGCTGTAGGAAGTTCTACCAGATAAAGAACCTGGTTTCTTCCACAAACAAATTCTGAGGGAAGGAAAAAAGAGAGAGGGGCAGTCTGTGGATTAAAAGAGATTTACAAGATCTATCAACAAAATGCCATGTATGGACTTTACTTGGAGTCTGAATCAAATGAGGAAATGATAGACAGAGAGAAACAGAGAATAGGGACAATTTTAACATTACTTGATGATATTAGAAATTATTCTGTGTAATTTTAAGCATAATACCTTAGGTGTTTGTAAAATGTTCCTATCTTTTAGAAATACATACTGAAACATTTATGGATATGAAGTCACAGGATATTTCAGATTTGCTTCAAAGTAATCCAGGAGTTTGGAGAGTAGGTAGCATATAGATTAAACACAATTGGCTATGAACGGCTAATTACTGAAGTACATGAGTAATGAGTACTAAAGTAATGAGTACATAAAAGTTTACTATACTATCCTCTCCAGTTTTTTTATATTTGAAGATTTTCCCATAGTAACAAGTTAAACAAAGACATTTGTTGGACAATTAATTTGTTGGCAGTATCTTTTGAACATAAAAAAGTTCCCACACAGCAAGGAAAAACTGATTTTTCTATAACCGTGGTAATATTTAGCCACCCATATTTTAAACCCTTTAATCAATCAATGGCATCCCAGTTATGGTAAACATGCTCTTCAAAACAACCAATCAATAACAGCCCCTCACTTCTGACTTTCAGCCAATTAGGAATGGACTCACTCTGGTTAGTGATTCCCAACCAATCAACAACAGTCTTACCTGAGCACCCTGTTTCTTAATCCGTCAAACCCCTAACACTCTGAAAGTCCACAAACCCCTGAACTTCCAGCTTCCCAAATCCATACATAAATAAGATGAACAGTCAGCTGGGCTTAGAAAGATTGTGCCTGACCAACACAGCTCTTCCTAACTATTGTCACTCATTCAGCTTTGTCTTCTTATTTCAGGTCATGGGTAGAGTGGTGGTCTCATCCTACTACGAAACATAGAAATTTGATCCTGTCCATACCCTACGACAGAACAGCTTCACTCTTAGTTATACTCTCGTATCTGTGTACGTTCAAAATGTTCATAGTAGTATCATTTGTAGTAGTGTGAAACAGGAAACAACCCATATGTACATCAACAATAGAATGGGAACAAATTCT